TTGTTCTGGGAAAAAAAAAAAATACAGTATTTTCAGAGCCACACTTTGTTTTTGATGTTGTGTTTCCTCAGGACATCTAGTTTTGTTTAGGACCTGAGGGAAGACACTGGATAGGCCAAGAAGAGAAGCCTTTGAAAGACAAAAACTAGTAGGAGGCTCCTCAGAAGAAGGAACCATATGGGTGGAGTTGATTGGTACCCTTGGTGCCAGCTGTTAGATCCAAGGCAGATGGGCTTTGCTCTGCCCTGCAAATGTTTGTGTCTGGCCAACAATCACACGGCACAACAGCCAGATTCCAGCAGTGAAAGGCAGAGCAGAGAGACATTTTTTTTTCCTGGCACTTTTCACTCTTTGGATACTCTCTGCACTGAAGATTTAGATTAAATTAATATTGCTGGCCATATGCTCTGTATACTGTGGTTATATAGTGTTGTCTTGGTTGCTAGCTACTTTGGATGCTGTGGTTAAGCAAATTGTTGCCTTAGTCACCAGCCACATTTTTAATACAAGTTCTGACTTTTTTGCTTTCCCCCACCTTTCTCTTCAGAAAACTGTTTCTTGGTTGGTTAGCCCATCCACCCCAAAGATACATTTACACCTCTTTTTCTTTTCCTTTTGACCTGCTCGCATGCAGTTACTGACTGCCCATTTATCAGTCGTATGGTCTAGTACTAAAACGATGGGTCTTATGAGTATATCTGAAAAGATTTACTACCTTTCACTGCCTGCACTCCCATCCTTCTTGGTTTAACACATAACACTCTTTCAAGTTAATTCAAGTTGTAACTTCTGTGAATTAAGAGTGCCCTCTTTCTATTTTCAAAACAGTAAGCCACCCTGAGAAAAGCAACATATTGCCAAATATGTTACAGATAAGTTTACACAATTATTTAATTCTCTGAAGAAGAGAGAAAAAGAACACATGAAAACATTGGGCTGCTTATATGGGGAATAGAGGGACTGGAAAGGAGTTCGAAAATGGAAATTACCTAGAGACTCTAAAGTCTTCACTCTGGGCCTGTACAGGTTCATCTCTTGAACCACCATCATCTCTAGAGTAAGAACAGCAGATGAAGGCTTCCATCCAAGACGCATTTTCCATTTGGGAGGCTTCTTGCTCATTTTTTCATGGTATGTTGTTTCAAAATGCCATCAGAAGCCATTTCTTGGTACATAGCTAGAGCAGTGATTCCAGTTGAGTACTCCTTCCGCCAGTGTATAAGAGAACCTTTGGCAGGCAATTAGATCTTTAACTTTTAGCTTTTAGCAGAAAATTAAATATAGAATCTAACAACTTAAACTTATGAACGAAAAGTGAGAGTTGTATTTATATGTTAAGGATGATCATATTTGGTTAATTTGCTTATCCTTTGATTCTTTGACATTAAAAGTCTCTAAACAGGATATACCTTCTTTAGAGTGTTTTAAGTAAATATGTCTTGGTAATGCCATCTTTTATAATTAACTTTTTAAATATGAAGCCATTATGTTTTTTTAAAGCACAGAAGGATTGCATTAAAAAAAAAAGTATACAGTCTATGTGACAGTAACTGTAGGTGTTTAAGAATAAAATATAATTAGTGCAGTTTTAAATTCAGTCAATTAAATTCTACAGAACATCTACCTATGTCCAGGGTCCAGGGAATATGGATACTAAGCCATTCGAATTTTGTTTTCTATTAGATGCACATTGACTAATCATGTAGACATTTTATGTTTTTCGTTATCAACTATAGTCTTTAGATTTGAAACTATGGTGGTTTTATATGTAACTATATGTAATTATTCCCAACAGGGTCTAAAGTCAACTTCTTAGTAATGTTTTACAGACTACTTTAAAAGAAGTTATATTCAAGAGGCTTGATCATACAAAAAGAATCAAAACTCAATCATCTCTCTTGTTGAATTAGTTTAGATTATTTCTAGTTGATCTGTATTTTCTACTTTCTAAAGTTAAAAGCTGCATTTTCCTTTATTCAAAAGTCTGTGTTTAAAAATTCATTCATTTAAGTGCATTGGTTTATAGAGTTATCCTGTTGATACTGACATAAAAAGAAAAAAAACTGTAAACCTGCCAAATGTGGGAGAAAAAGTTGGAAGGAGATTTGTATGCTGTTGGAAGAAGATAGTACAATGTTCGAAGAATTGGACTAGATTACTGATATAGTCAACTCTTGAGTGTGAAATACCACACTGTCTAATGTAACCTTCTAGAAGAAAATTAATAAAAGATGAATGCAAGGAGAAATGCATCTTAATAAAATATAAAGCAACTTCAGCTGTCTATTCAAGGACTTTAATTTTTACTTCATAAAAAAATCACATTCTGAAATTATTTCAGAACCCCCAAATGTTCCCAATTCCTAGTTTTTAAAAAATCTGGAAGGCATGACCAATATTGAGTCAATGTATAGTCTTAGCACTTAGCCCAATATCTCAAAAGCACAACGTCCTGTGTTTAATAACGGTTCACTGTTGAATGAATACATGAGCAAATGAGTGAATAACCCACCAGCTACATGTGCTGGTGGTTTTAGTTTGTGCGTGCATGTAATTTTTAAGTTAAGTTGTAGGTTCCACCAAATAGCAAAGTAGATCTGAAAATAAACGTCTAGAACAAAGATATGGGACTATGTGTAATTTTTATTTTGTTCCTTGTGGTTTCATGTATTTTCCAAATGTTTAACAAGTGTTATATAGCAGAAATTTTTCAAGATACATACACAGCTACAATTTATCTAAAAATTAAATATAAATCTCACCTCTACTAACTCCTATCTCATCCATGTTTCAAATTGCAAAGGCCCAGCTATTGCATTAAATGCTACTTATGAAAACAAATATAATTATAGCCAAACAACATTCCTAGGATTAATTTAAAGAAGGATTTTATCTTGACCTGTAGAAACTGAATTAATGTTTCTGCCACTAAAACAAGACAACATCAGTTGTGTTTTGTAATGTTGAAAATGTTTATCCTTTTTTGAGGATACCAAGATACGATATTGAATTCCAAAGTTCTTGTTTCAGGTATAGTCATATTTGAAAGACTTTTAAAAAATTAGCATACAAGCCTAAAAAAACAATCCCTGGTCTCCCTGATAGAGGCAAAATATTGAGCCAGGATAGATGGGTAATCTGAGCCACTGTTGCAGTTGGTAGTTGAATCCTGTGACTAATGGTAGAGATATCTGTCTAGGTGGACCACATGGATTTAGTTATCTGCCCACTGGAATGACACAATGGGGAGATATCTGATGAATATCATGGAACATCTGTGAATGGATCACTGCTATGCCTGATATGAATCATTCTTCCCTCAAAAATCTAACATTTGATAGTTAAAATATTCCAAACTGTTGTCATCTCATAAACTGAGTCTTTTGGCTTATTTTAGGGGTTGGGAGGGAATGAATGCAATACATTTTGTCAGTGAGTTGCTTGGCTATGTTTAAGACCTCTAAATTAAGGGAAACCAAAAACTAGTTGTAGAAGATGATGAATCTTGGATTTTGCAAGCAATATAGCAATTAAAAGAAATACCTTCTTCAACTGCTCACCACTGTTGTAGAAGCTGTAGAATTTAAGTCTCATTAGCTTGGTGAATTTAATGGTTTTTCCTGTCAGTCTTTAAATTTAAAGTTAAAGGTGTGCATAACAGGATAGCTGAGGCACTCCACCTACAGAATTTCTGTGACTCTTAAGGGGATCTTGGAGGAAGTATTTGGTGCCTAGGTCTTTAAATGACAGTTTTTTTCACTGAGTGATCCTGTTTCACATAGACTTGCCTAATTTGTGATCAAGCTCCTTTTTTTTTAAGGGTACTATTGCTTAAAGCAACTAAAAAAATTGAAGGAGTATGTGGGATTAGTGAGGTGTGAAGCAGTGGTTTTCTGGATACTTCTAATGCTGCTTTTACAACTCTTTCTGGTAATTCATCCTATCTGTTTATAGAGATGGGGTGGATAAGTGGGAGGGATAGCTTAGTTTGTGCTTTTATTTCCACTTCCAGGAGTAACATATTATCTCTGATCTGAAACATTTAGCATTGTCTGTAGTCTAACATTTCTCTTATTTCTCTTTGAAATTTTGATATAACTGTCATTGCTTCTTTTCATTCCTTGACATTAAAGAGAAAATGAGTATACATAAAATCTGTGCTCTAAGGATGGTTACAAATAAGAGTGTGTGTTTGTGTGTGTCTTTGTATTTTGTGAAATGTGAGCAAGTTGTGGTGGATATCTTTGCCAATAAATAATAAACATATTTAATATTTTATAAGTTCAATAAGAATATTTTTAGCTGTGCTAAACAGGTTACATAAACTAAGTTTAAAGAATGAGAAGTATTTTATAAGTTAATATTTGAATGAATTATGTGTACAGTTATTTGACAATGGTATAATCAACAGGAGGTAAGCTCTGCCAGAGCAAACAGACTAATTGTTACATTCCAAAAGATGCCCACTGTAATCTTTAAGTACTAAACAACTGTGGGCTTTTAGAGAGATAACTATATAAATGAAAGAAAAAAATGAAATGTGTGGATGTGATGTATTCTAACAAAGACTACATTGATGAGTTTGTTCTAAAAAATATCAAAAAAATTGTCCCTATAAATATACAACTGTTGTTTTGCATTGAAACATATATTCATACATTTTATCTGATTTTTTTGCTTTTTGTTTTGTTTTGTTTTGTTCTTTGTTTTTAAGGAAAGCATGAAGAAGAATATACAAATGGGAATACTAAATGTTTAAGATTACCAGTAGTTTCTATTTCTTGAAAATAGTTATGTTTCTAATTATAAGAACAATAATTTTGCCTAAAATTTCAGTATAATGACCAGGACTTCTCTCCTTTTTAGAGAAGCATCAAGTGTGGAACAGATAAGACAGCAGCGATCCAGTGAGGTTGATTCCCCACAGAGGAAAGCTATGCATACCTAACTTATTGGAAGGTAAACTTCTCTTCAATTAACGATGTCCTCCTTTTCTCAAGGTGTCCAAAGACAGGAGGTGGTCTGTAAAAGGTTGGATGACAACTCCATTGTCCAGAACAATTACTGTGACCCTGACAGTAAACCACCTGAAAATCAAAGAGCCTGCAACACTGAGCCCTGCCCACCTGAGTAAGTAAGGGAAAGAAATGAGAATAACTTTCTTCAAGTGCAAAGGGAAAAATGTATTTGGAAACATATTCATGTGATAAGAATAAATTCATCTAAAAAGAGGTAGAAAACATTAGAGAGGAAATTTTAATGTCCCTTTACTAAGCAAAGTTCCTATTTATCCATAGGGTTCAATTATTAGCTACTTTAAAGTAGAAACTTCAGTGGATTTGGTTCTGGCACAGTGCTGGAAATTATTATTAATAATTAATTATTCATCATTTCTAAGGCATACAGCTTTTCACATTTTAACATCTCTTAAATTAGAATTCATCTTGCAACTGATGTTGTCTTACAATAATAAATGAAAACTTCCCCCCTCTCTTAATGGTACACTAAAAACATAGTGTCTCCGATTTAATAAAATACAGTAATTTGTTTGCTTTCCTGTCTTTTCCAGATATTTATCATAAAGTCCTAACGACTTTAAAAATGGTTCAGAAATATTGTGGAATAGACTGTCAGTATTTTAATTTGCTGACCCAATGTTAAGTTCTATTGTTGTAAGATATCCGGAGTGTTGGGCACGTGACAGAATACTTCAGTCTCCGTATTGATTAGCAGTTACAACTTACCGTAAAGAGAGGCACAAGGAGGGGGCTCATCCACCTCAATGATGGTTTTAAAATGAGACCTGTTGCCAGTGAACCTCGCTTTGTAATCTGTGAGAACAGAAAGCTTTCTTGAATGAGCAAAAGGCAAAAATTATGTGAAAAAAGGCAAAGGAAGAGCAGAGTACCATATGTTCTCACTCATAAGCAGACCCTGAAAATTTACCATAATATTACGAAAGGGATGGGCAGTAGTGGGATGCTGCTGGGGTGGGGGTGGAGACAACATCAATAAGGGTACCTGATTTCAAACCAGACAAAGTGGGGACCAAAGGGAGGTCCAAACTTTACCTATTTGATGTCCACTTGTATACCTAATCCTGAATTGTATCCCACATCTTTAAAAAATATATTAGAAAATGAAAAAATTTTTTAAAAGTAAAACAGAATACAAAGGGTGTTGAATTGATCATGACAACACTGGTGTTTGTAGGGATTTTGCCTGACTGACAACTGCAAAAGAAAACATGTGAATGGCACTTCATTCTTAGAGAAATCACATTAACTGTTCCCCCTGGCTAGCTAATTATCCCAATATGAAATTTATAAGGAAAAAGAGAGCAAGCAAATGAATGTGTAACTGGAGGAAAAAAGCTTTATAATGAATTAATCCCTTTTTTCTAACAATGACTATAATGGAGTTACAAAGATATGGGACTTATAATAGATAAATAATCTGGGTCCCTAATATGTTTAAAGCAAAGTGAATTTCTTAAAATTTGTCCCAAGCCATTAATGCCTCATGAACTTTCATTATACAAAGTCAGCGTCTGTCTAAACATGTGAATCTTAAATGTAATGTTCACGACTAGCCCCTTGAAAAGATTTAGGTTGGTGGCTACCAAATAAGGAACACAAGGAATCTAAAGTAATAGAAGTTTCAAGACTTTTGTAATTTTATGTCTGTTCTTTTCCAAATGTCATCACCATATAACTGATTCCTTAAAATTCAGACTTGGGAAAGTATGGAAATCTGACCTATCATATGTATTACAAAGACAAGTTATTCAATTTTTTTCATATTTTTCTTTTCTGCCAATTATTTTTATTAATTTATCTCGAGAGAAACTTAAACACTATGCAAAACAAAATGATGCTCAGAATTCACAGGCTAATTTTGTCCTTTCCCATGTTTCCAATAACTTCAGAAAATTTTAATATAATTGCGAGTCTCAACCCATCAAGTTAATTCCCTGACACTCAGGATTTTTAAGTATTATATTTGGCATTTGAACAGTCTTTTAAGGCATCTGAATGGGCCTGATCACACCAGTTCTGTTTTTTTGGTCTCAGCCTTTTTATTTGTTTAATCTTAAATGCTTAAATGTCCATCTATCTTCTTTAGAGATTTTAGTTGTTAGTCATTTCATCCCATAAAATCTGTGTTTGAGTATTACATTGGAGTTGGATTTTTTTAACGGTAAGGATAATTTACCTGATTAAAATTAAGTTTTCTATCACCTTTCTTTTTTGTAGTTCAGAAATAAAGTTACTTATTTAAAATTGGAGGTGAGCTGGGCTCGGTGGCTCAGCCTGTAATCCCGCACCTTGGGGAGGCTGAGCTGAGTGGATTGCTTGAGCCCGCGGGTTCGAGACCCGCCTGGGCAGCGAGACCTCATCTCTACAATACATTAAAAAAAAAAAAAAAATCAGCCGGGCGTGGTAGCGCATGCCTGTAATCCGGCTACTGGGAAGGCTGAGGCGGAAGGATCGCCGGAGCCCAGCAGGTCGAGGCTGCGGTGGCCGGGAGCGGCCACTGCACTCCAGTCTGGGCGACAGAGTGAGACTCCAACTCAAAAATAAAATAAAATTGGAGGTGAAGAAATGGCATTCAAAAGAGAGAAGGATACAGAGAACATAGGAAAAATAGATATTTAGTCTGACAGTTTTCTTTTTTGGAAAGACCTAAGTGTAGATATTTAAAATATTACTTGTTATCAGTCCATTTTTACTTAGTTTCCTTTTAATCCTTCTTTATTTATTTGAATTCAAATTATGAAAAAGAAAAATCTTAATTTTTCAGAATGGTTATCATATGTGCTCAACTTACAGTAGGGTTATGTTCTGATACCATCCTAAGTTGAAAATATTGTAAATAAAATATGCATTTACTATACCTAACCTACCAAACTGTAGCTTAGCCTACCCCATCTTAAATGTGCTTAGAACACTACATTATCTACAGTTGGGCAAAATCATCTGGTAACACAGCACACGGTAGAGTATGAGATTTCACCTCATGGTTACGTGTCTAGGAGCTGTGTGTTGCTCCTGCCGCCCAGCATCACCAGAGAGTATTGTATGGGCATTTTGCTAACCCGGGAAAAGCTGAAAATTCAAAATTCCAAGTATGACTTCTACCCAATGTGTTTCGCTTTCACAAAGTTGTGAAGATGAAAAATCATAAGTCGAACCATCAAAAATCAGAGCCCATCTGAGATTCCCAGTAGATACTGGCATTATAGAGATAGAAATCGTTAAAAAAAAAAAACAACTCTACATGAGTGTGAAGAGAGCAGATAGATTTTTAAAGATGACCATGTAATAGCCAGATAGGCAAAAAGAAGAAGATATAAAGCACCTATAATGTTATTGTTTTGCTATATGCATTTCTAGTTTTTTTCTGTTCGTACATAGGCATGTGTATATAATAAAATTATATTATGCTATTTATGATGCTCTAGTCTGTTCTCAACATATCTTGAACATTAAATATCTTCAGCAACATTTAGTAGACATGTCATTGATTAAATTGGAATACCACTGTTGAACAATTTTGGCTGTATTCTTGCTTTTGACTCCTACAATACCACAGCATTAACTATTTGCTACTAAGACTGCTCTCCATAATTATGCCCTTATGCTAAATAAATAGGAATCGAATTTCTGGTTCAACTGGAAGCACATTTTAGTCTTTAAAATCACATTGTCAGATTGCTCTCCAGAAAGACTGTGTGAATGTATACCCTCACAGTATATAAGAATACCATTTCCTAGATCTGAACCACACTGGCTATTATTATTTTAAATACAATCTTTGATTATTTTATGGGGAGGAAAAAAAGCTCTTATACCTAATTGCTATTTTATTTTGCACTTCTTAGACAGCTGATGAGTCTGAACATTTAAAAATTATGTTCAGTGGCCATTTGTACTCCTTTTCTTTTGCTTTTTATTTTCATGGCCTGTCCTACTGAAGTAATTATCAACACTTCAGTAATTCTACTGAAATATTTATCATTATGCTATTGCTTTGCATGAACTCTTAATGTATTAAGGATATTAACTCTTTTACCTGTGCTCCAAATATTTTTACCTAGTTCATCGTATGTTTTCCAAATTATTTATGTTGTTCTGATCTATTTTTACTTCTAAAATCAAAAAATATTGCTTAGGAAAACTGTCAAACTTTTTTTTTCCTTGGTATAATATTTAGAAAAGTCTTCTCCACTCTAAGATTATACTTCCAAAGTTTCTTTTTTTATTTTTAATGTAAACTTTAATCTATCTGAAGTTTATTTGTTTAATTTGAGGAAAGGATTTATATTTTCAAATATTGTTTTCCCAATCATTAACATTTTAAATGGTATTTTTTCATCAGAAAGTACTTTTTAAAATAATGAAATATATTAAGTGTCTTTAGTTATTGAGAAAATTTGTAAGAGCATTATAGAAAAATAGAAAACAGTAAGATTTGTCCTTATATAAAGAAAATGATACAAAACTAGGAAGAATAGACAAGTGGTATTGGCAGAGAAATAATAATAGTGTTTATTTAGAAGATTTTGAAGATCTAGAGGAGGGCTTGCTGGGGAAAGTTTGTGTGCTCATAGCAGCAACACTTTTATGAGAAAGTCTTGTAGTCACAGTAGTACAGTGACTCAGTGAAAATAGTGAAATCTATGACATAGGATTGAATAGTTGGAATAAAAGAAAAGGGAAGAATTAATATTAAAGGATATGACTGATAGGAAGCTAGACCCCTATCATAAGAAAATAATGCTGAGTTGGAATCCAAAGAGAAAGGCCAACAGTTTAATTTTTGCCATGTTGTGCTTTAATAGCAAGAATAACCTCATGTGAAGAATTCTTGAATACTAATTTTTTTCCCTGTGTTTTAAAATTGTGAAAACCAGAGAGGTGAAAATAAGAAAACTATCAATTTTGATAATAAATAATATTGTGACCAAGAATTTAAAAAGCATATATTAATCAACTGTGACATGGTAGGCACTACACTTGGGGAGCAATGGTTCCTTTTCCTAAGGATAATCTATTTGAGCAAACACATATAAAAATAACTAAAGTCAAGATAAAATATGATAAGTACATGAGAAAGTTATAAGCAAA